TTTAGTTAATTGAAAACACACATTAAACATGGCTAAATAGTGACAATTTTAATCACAAGTACACAAATTGGCTTTTCTGTACCTCGCAGCATTCACAGTCAAAGCACTTGTCTTTTGCTGGACACATTTTCCCCACAAATACAACATGCTAATGCTTTTAGCACAAGCCTATGGCAGTTTACCTTGTATAAATTAGCCTAGCGGCTAGCGGACTTTTCCACTACTCATATGAAGCCAAGAACAACAGCAACATTTAGCAAAGGTAACAGTACAAAATTTGGCTCCATTACAGCTCACAAGGTTCACTGTCAAAACAACTGTCTTATACTAAACATGTTTTCCAAACAAATACAACATGCTAACGTTATTAGCACAAGCCTATGGCATTTTACTTTGTATTGTATTAGCCTAGCAACAAGCAGATATTTCTTTTTCTCATATGAAGCCAGGATAAATCACATACAAGACTTAAATTGCTATATTATGGAGGCTTTATTGTCTTCACAATTTATTGTTTATTATCTGTGAAATTAAAGTAAATAAAAGCTTCCTTTCCACTGAGAGAAATGGTTTCAGCTTACAAAAATAGACAGGAGGCCTGCGTCACCACGACATGTAGTTACATTTCCCGGGAAGGTGCACATCAGCCTACGGCATATAGTACAGCGTAGGTTCTACTACGACGCAGACCCTTCGCTGTAGCTATGGTGTCGATTCCACTAAGAAGTATAAATCCTACTTTACCATTTTTAGCCACCATGTTTGTTGCTTCCATCATGAAGAGTTACCACCATCACTGATCAATATCGACTCACATTTTGTTTTTACTTCACTGGTAATGTTAAATCAAAAGCACAGGTTTTGGTGCGCAGGTCAAAATGTGACAAGCAGTGCTCCAACTAAGTTATTAATACTAAGGTCTGCAGAAACATTGCATGCAATAGTCCACTTTACTCCTCCTCTACTCCCCTCTCTATCTCTCTCATTCAAACATACACACACACACACCTTGGAGAGCACTGCGAGATCAGTCCTAATTGTCTTTGCCTTTGTCTCAGTCCTTAATCCTGAAAGTTGTGCTACTGTAATGCATAAAGTTGGCAGTTTGCAGGTCGGGCCCAGTTCAGATGGCTAATGTATTTTACATGGTTGCCCCACCACCCCACCCCCAACCAAGTATGTCATCATCCATTGAGATGTGTCACTTTGGACATTGTCATATGCCAGTTTGGTAGACAATGCCGAAAACTAATTAAAACAGATTGTAGTTAATTGTAAGCTGATCCCGAGATGCCCTAAAATGGTCACAGTATCAGTGCTGTTTTAATGATAGCTACTATGCACAATTGAACACATGCAGCAAGCGGATGTCTGTGATTTGTTGAGCTAGTCTCCTATCTTTTTTTCTGGCATGCCCTTGAGGTTAGGCAAGAAAGAGCAGATAGACCATGGACATGGGAAGATACCAGATGGGAGTTTTTGTTCTCTTTGTCAGTTGTGGCTCCAGGAAGACTCTGAGGCCAGTTTAAAGTGCATCATATTGTAAGTTATTCATTGCTCCCAGATATTGGCACGGTCCACCAAAATGTGTTTTCTCCAAAAGCTGCTGCACTAACAGCAAATTGGTCATCATCGATTTTGGCTGCACACTCGCTGGTCTTAATTTCATAAGCTTTCGATCTTTAAGTTTGCTATGATATTTTTAATATGTTTCCAGTTAAATAAAAGTGCCTATTAAGTCTGGTAATTTGGCCGTATAGTGTTGTTAATTTGGTAATTAGCCGAAGTCTATTGAGGTATACACATTCATTGATACCTATTAAATGGAATTTGCAGTAAGAATTAAAGCAAACTCAAGATCAAATCTGATTATAAGCCCTTTTCATGAATTGAGCCCATTGTCTGTCCCTCCTAATGTTCCCTCATGTTTTCTGCTCACATCTCCCCCTCATACCAAACATCTAAATGGAAATCATCAACATCCATAAACATGTCTTCTCATGGAATGGGAAATGGAGGGGACTGATATAAGTGGATGAAGAGGACAGGGAATGGAATGGTTCTTCTATACCTCATTTACCAGCAAACCGCTTAGTGAGGCCACTGGCATTTCCGGGGTCAAGAGGGCAAAATGAATGTTCTTCATATCCTATGGTGACTCGTAAAAAGGAGACCGGTGACACACGCATGTGCACACACACACTCACACACGTGTGCACAGCCTTACGCAGTCAGTGTGATTTATACCAAGACCTCTCGGGCGACAGTCATGGGCCGTTGACTTTGTCACAGCAGAACAAGAGAGAAATAACTTTATGGATGTGGATAGTGAGCAACAGACATTAACACAGAGGGCCAGAATAACAGGAAACCAGCCTTGACCTCTGGGGTGAGGGAAAGAAAAAAGAGATGGCAAGGGAGCATGGATGGCTCTCCATCTTGATTTGCTGGAAAAGCTGCAGTCCAAAGCTGAGCAGACTAAGAATCAGTGAAATGGTTTTTCCAGGAACAATACACCCCCTCTCAATCCCACTGATTAGTACCAAATGTGTCTGTGATTTGACCATAACATACTTCTAAAGGGCATTGGTACTATTTATCACTAACACTGAAAATAAGACTTTAATGGGACACACACAAGAGATGTATTATATCCAAAATTTTCAATAATACGAAGCATCTGATTAAAAAAATGACATAACGATGATCAAATTAAAATAATATCTTATCAGTGGCTCTTTCTCCATCAGTGATATTGCGGGTCAGAGATGTTAGGAACAGATGAATGAATTCAACAAATGACTAAGAATCCATAATACCAACCTGATTTCATTGTGGGGACAACAAAAGCAGGAGAGAGGGCTGATTATGTTCTAGCTCCCTCTCTTTTTTCTTTGCTGGTTTTCATTGCATTCACCACTTTCTGTCCCATTTTATCTCTATCTTTGTCCATTCTCCTCCACCGCCAGCGATGACATGGCCTCGACCAGAGTCTTTGATTAGCGCTGCCTCTAAATAAGGCACATCCTGTTGACCTTCCAAACTTTGCAATTTCCTTTTAACCCTTTCCTCTCGATTGCTCTGTCTGCACTTGTTTCACTCGGCATCTCCTCTCTGAGGGATTAGGGCTGGCTGGGTAAACAGACCAAATACATCATAAAAGTCAGTGGAGCGGTATGTCATGCAGCATTTACTAAATTAGTTGTTTCTGTTATGATATCAGTCTTGCTTGCTTATATGCTTCAGCACCAGCTGTTTGGGGGGGATTGAGGCATGCACACAGTTGTGGATGCTTACGCACATATTGCTTATATTCATCTCATTTTAGATATGCTTATCTAATGCTTAGGCTGAGGATAGAGTAGCTCTGATGAATCCCAGGGTTTCTAACACCTTAAATTATTTGTGGCGGCTTTCCTCTATCAGCATTTTCCATCACATATTGATTTTTTTATTTTTTGGAGCTTGAATATTAATTTGGAGCACAGCTGGAATACATTTACTATTTTGTTATTCAGAGCACCACACACACAGAGCAAAGAATCTACTCTGGGTGAAAGTGAAACTTAACAGTTCATGGATTCATATAGAAATAGAATGCTTTATTTCTCATAACAACAGTGCTCTCACTTAAATTTTGTCCATTGATTTTTCAACCTACTTTAGATTAAACCGGCTGCATTCCCATGAAAACTAGCTTTCATTCGCCTCTGCAGCAGCTACTTGTCTAATCCATCAATAAGATCTGATCAGCTCCATTCTTTTAGAGTTTACACACTCACAAAAACCTCTGAATTCAGACAGGGGGCCACAGAAAAACCACACAAAACCCCCCAAAGTTTCCAAACTACATTTGGAATGATGGTCATGCACTGCTTGGACGTAGACGGACAGTATTTTGGGATGACCTGTCATTGCACTGTGTGCATTGGATCCGACTGGAGCTGCAGCCAATAAATACCCGTGATCACTGCAGAGTCATATGTCTCTGGAGTGCATGCTGATTGTAACCTCTCCCATTAAATACAAAAGCCTGACATTAGCAGGTGTTAGTGAGTTTTTTTGTCCAGTGGCAAAAGGACTATAGATTATAATTCTGTGGTAAACACTGTCATCCTATGAGAGCCCACTCCCTTGTGAAGGTAGGTGTGCTGAGGAGTAAATCCAGGTGAGACACTATGTCTGCCATGGTCTGCAAGACTGCAGTGACGCAGAACTCCCACAATGCTCCAGTCAGACCCTTTCATCTCTAATCAGCAAAAGGCGGAGATGAGCCAGGAAAGAGATCCCTGATTGAGTTGGAAAAGGCATCTGACCTTCTACACTATATTCTCCTCTGTTCTTGAGGAAAGAGGAAGTTTGCTGGAGAATATTTTGTGCCTGCTAAATTCAGACAGGTTAGAATGTGCACATACTTTAAATGTAACACAATAGAACACACACACACACACACACACACATAGCCCAGGTCAAACACCAGGCATTTATACCCAACCTCATCTATGACCGCACAGCCTCGGCTCGATTAATTTAGCCTCCAGAGACACGGATCCCCAGGTTAAACAGCAGGCTCATAGCAGAGAGCAGAGTGAGCGGGCTTGATGAATGACTGCAGCCTGGTAACCTGACACGCCTGATAAACGTGAACCGGCAGATTCGTTTTTAAACAATGTAGTCCTACCCTCGCATTTAACATCCATACTCTGAGACCAGGGAAAAGCTTTCAGAATGACTAATAACAAATTTAGCCCCTTTCAGACAAGGAATCTGTAACATTGCTGGGTTCATCCATCCTTTAAATAACTGTCTTCATTCATGTGCTGTTCATGTCCAAATGTGACAGGATTGTTGTGGATAGAGCCGTAATCTTGCACTACTTGACATTTCCAGACGAGATAATGCAAGAATTCGGGTATTAATTTTGGAGGCAATGGATTATTTAGTGGCTCTGATTATACGCTGCTGACGCTGCTTAACCATTTGTACTTGATTTCTTTCAGCCTCAAGTCAAATGTGTGATCCAACGGAGGTTAATGACAACCCATGGGTGTACGTGAGCAAGATGCTAATTGGCTGTTGGACCAGCTTCATCACAGAGGACAAGGCAGAGGTCCACATCCTTAACCTGAACTTTGCTGCCACGGTAAGCATGTCAAGGTTACACAAATGAGATGCTGAGGAGCTAGTGCTAATTACGTAAATGTCAAGAAGTGAAGAAATCAGCTAGTAAGCCAGTAAAATGTAAGACGCTATGCTAGTTTAACGGCAATATATATATATATATATATATATATGAATATATAATGAAAAAAATTCTCCTAACTTCTGCGGTGGCATTAAAAAATCAGCAGGCAACCCACTCAGTACACCAGATGACAATTGCAAAGCTGAACTGTGAGAACGTAGCAAGTTAAAACGCAGCACAGTCAGCTTTATAGCTATCTGTCAAGCTGATACCTGGCACTACTTGTCATTGAAAACCAATACCATGGCTTGTCATGGGCATGTTATCATCCACTAATTAATCACTCTTTTCAGCGGACAGTAGCCTACAATATGCCAAGCTGAGTCACACCTAAAATGAAGATGAGTGCAAATCCATGCTCATCTTGTATGCATTTTGCAAATGATAAAATAAGACTCATTGTAACAAACAAAAGGAAACAGTTTCTCTTCACAGTGGTGAATGTATACATGTAGGCATAAATACTACAGTAAGTAATGGCTGAACTCCATTTAGCTACTTTGGTTTTAGGATCTTGGCATTGTGCTTCCTGGCTCACTGTCACAGCTTACCGGGACAACTGAACAGAGCTCAGTGTTGTTAGTTGAACCTGTGCTTATCGTGCTATGACACGTTCAAATGTCTGCTGTGGAAAAGGCATACATTAGCTGGGATGCCAAGACAACATGGATGACCTGGCAGAGATTGACTGATAGCTCCCCTCTGTATTTTCTGAGGCTAATTGCAAACAAGGAGCAGCTGTGTGGGCAGGTGAATGGGTCATGTGATGAGCTGAGGCAGGAAACTGATGGTTGGCAGGCAGGAGAAAAATTGGAGGTTTAGAATGACCTAATGGGAGGTTAGTGGGCACAAAACAGAGATTAATCAGATAAACTAGAGTCAGAAGAGGCAAGATGGAAAGATGGAATAACCAATATAGTTGATATGATTTTGGTGATGCACATTTAAAGGGGAACTCGGGCCATTGTTCTGATGGCTCAAAATTCTGAAGCAAAAAATGGCCCTTTGGATGGAAAGCCCATTTTACTAAAAGGCTATTATCCCAAAAACAAATGCCCACTGGTCCGAAGTGCTGTTTCTCCGAAAATACACACTCTCAGCAGTTGGGCAACCCAATCACCAGAAAAATGTTCGCATTGTATGTTTCTGCAAACCATGGATACCTTATCCGTCAGCAATGCCATGGTGAATGTTTGGTTAGGTTTAGGCAGAAAAACCAGTTGGTTATGGTTTGGAAAAGATCATGTTCTGGCTTAAAACACCCATGTTTGGTGGCATCAAGGTTGCTTGAAAAGCAGGGATGGGTCAATGAAAAACGCCAGATCCAGTCCCTCAAACGGCACTGAGAAACACAGTGAAGGGTTGATTAAAAACACAGGTGGATCGGTGGTTCAAACCCCGCTGGGAAACCAAAACTAACTGCAGGGAGTCTGTATTTTCAGACTGTGGAGCAATGGGTGGTCATGGGCTGCCGAAGAAATGGGCTTTTGGTCTTTTTGGATTGAGGCTTCGGAATTTTGGCCCATCACAACAATGACACAGCACCAGAAAAATGTACAAAGCCTTTATAGCTTCAGATGGAGCTGTGCAACATCTGATAAATTGCCTCAAGTGATGTCATTTGAGTCAGCGTCGGCTTGACTGTAGCTGGACAGTAGCTTTGACAAGATAAAAATCTGGGGGTTTGGAGTTGGAAATAAATCAGCTTACCACGTGTCTTATCGCTGCTTGAGGCTAGCTGCTGAAGGCTACAAGCTGCTACTAGCATAGCACACCTGAATCTCCACCTGAACTGTCGGCATTTGAGTTGCATTGTTGGTATTGTAGGCCCAGGTTTTTGAGGAAGAACAATATGTGGAACAAAAAAAGATGATATCTCTGGCTCTGCTGCATTGATTTTGATCAACTATTAATAACTGTCTATTTATAGAGGTGCTATGCTAAAGCGGTGCTCTTTAAGCTTTATTTTGGTAAATATTGTTGTACATTAACATTGTTGTTTCATAAACTCTAACCCAAATCCTGAATCAGATAAGCCCCCAAGTTTTTCTTCCCACACTGTGAAAAATGTAAACACACTCCATGTCCAGCTTTTATCAGCCAGATAACTAGCTAACCCTTAACAGATGTCAGACATGAGAGAGAGTTCCCAACATGCCACATTTGTGTTTTTTTTTTTTTAACACAAAACAGGCTTCTATGACAACCAGCTCTGTAAGTTTGGCTGTATGCTCAAGAATTCCCTTTCCAGTTTAACAAACACAAACCAAAATAATTGCAGATAGTGTATTGTGTCATTTTGATCGCAAAACTTTTAGCTTAGTCGACACCGGAAAGAACCTCCAGAAAACTTTTAATCTATATGTTGTTATTGCTGTGCCAGACTCCATTTTTCACTGTCCAACATTGTCGGTCAGCTCACATTAGTCATTTCTTTATCAGCGTGCTCTGTTTGTTTGCTTCTTCTGTTTGTTCTCACTTAGACTTCTTTATGTAGTACTTTCACATAACTTGTGTTAAGCAACTGCTGTTTATTTATTGTCTCTTCTTATTTTTCACTCCGTTGGCCATTCTTTCTCATTTGGTAGTGATTATGAGGAGGGAAGCAGATGTGCTATGTGCAGTCTAGCTGGGGCATCAACGCAGGATGGTGCAATACAACAGACTGTCCTCATTCACTGTTATTACTTATGCCTACAAAAAGTAACGCACTATATCTCACAAATAACCCACATAGTCATGAGCCAGGATGCTGTGATCACATGACCTATGTGCTGCAGGCTGTCTTCCATCATATGACAAGAGCAAAGGAGGAAGTTGTTGTATAAAGAGCGTGAAAGTCTGCGTAGGGAGGAAGGTCAGAGTGGTGGACAGGTCAAACACAAGTCTTTGACCTGAGGTTCGTGTCCTGTATGAAACCAAAAGTCAGTGTTGGGTTATTTTAAGTTAAGTATCCAAGCAGGCTGTTCTCATGCACCATCCGCACGTATATCTATGAAAAGTAATGCACCGAAATTCATATATGTATCCTACATAATCATGAGCCATTCATTTGTGTATAACCTTCAAATTTGGGAAGCTGTGATTGTGTAACCAATGTGTTGACTGGAGTAAAGAAGGAAGCAGTCCCTACAAGGAGGCAGGTTTAGATGGTGGACAGGTTACAAAACATAGGACTTTCCCCCTGAGGACTGATGTTCTGAACCATATGACACCAAATGAACTTTGAGTTATTTTAAGGTACAGCATCGTCATGTTTCTTTTCCTAAACCTAACCTATGTAACTACACTTGCCTAAACTGAAGTTATGTAACTTCACGTTAAATATGCAACTTTACCTTGGTCTCTGACATCATTCGTGTGGCGCTAAGGCAGGATTTATACTTCTGCATTGAATCTATGCCGTACCTATGCCGTAAGCTCTGCATCGACGTAGAGTCTACGCCGTACCCTAGGCCGTAGCCTGATCTGCACCTCCCCAGAAATGTAACTACACGTCACAGAGACGCAGACTTCCTGTCTATTTTTGTAAGCTGAAATAATTTCCTTCAGTGGAAACTTTGTTTACTTTAATTTGACAGATAAGAAACAATAAATTCTGAAGACAGTAAACCCTCCACAAAAAATAGCATTTTATGTCTTGTGTGTGATTTTTCCTGGCTTCATATGAGCAGAGGAAATCTCACCTTGTTGCTAGGCTAATTTATACAATGCAAAATGCCATAGGCTTGTGCTAAAAACATTAGCATGTTGTATTCGTGGGGAAAATATGTTCAGCAAAAGACAAATGCTTTGTCTGTGAATTAAGTTATAGCTAAGCTGATTTGTGTATCGTGTTTGATATTGTTGCTATTTAGCCATGTTTAATGTGTGTTTACAGCACTTCACAGAAACCTCCACTGCTGACTAGTGTTTTGGAGGTGTACCTGCAGATGACACAGACGCACCACTGCACAAGTATAAATGCTCACAATGGCGCAGGCCACGTGTGTAGGCTACGGTATAGGGTCTGCGACACAGGTATAAACCCCCCATAATTCGAAGGATATCATTTGAACCTTTATATGAGGATACATTGAAGTAATCACCTCATCACGTACTTAACATATTTAATGTAACGTCACAACATGACGTGACAAAACAATCAAATCTGGGCCTCATCGCGTATGTTAGGCACATAACATGGCAACGACCAACCACGTTTCTTTTTGTAATTCCTATTTTATAAGATATCATACGGACTATTGTATGAGATGTGTTGAATATAATGCTTAAATGCCTAAATCCATCACCTCTATAAAAATTAATAATAGCACTCAAGGTCTTTTCCCTTCAGTTGCCTCAGGGAAAGTTATAGAGAATCATGCTTTAATTTTCTCTTCAGGGAAACCTGAGAACAGTGAGATAAGCTGATTTATACAGCATGAGCGCTTTCCCTTTGGAATTCATTCTTTTGGATTTGACGTTTGAGGATACTGAAGTTTAGTCTTTATGTTCCACAAAGACAACATCCAGTAAGTCTCTTACCAGTGAAGCTGATTAACCTCACAGATGCCCAGGTGTAAGATATGTGTTTCCTTACTTAGTTTTGTTCTAAGTAACTGTGCAAACGTTGTGCAAGCAGGTGTCTTTGCCAAAACAAGGCTGGTTTATTGGCAGAAATGTTGCTGAACTTTTTTGCCAAGTCTTTAGTCTCATTTAATGGACTGCAATGTTACAGCAATATTTAATGGACTGGAAATCAAAAGAAAAAAAGCTGTTTGATGACAAAACAGATTTAAAGCATATTAGGAGGGAACTGCCTCTCTCGGGCATCTTATTAGGCCTGAAGAGTAAAACCAGACACATTATGCTGTGTGTGAGAAAAAGAACATTTCTTAGAAAACAAAGTTAGAGTT